CGATGACGTCCTCACCGGGGACCCAGTTGATAGGGGTGGTGATGCGGTACTTGTCACCGGTCTGGAGGGAGTCGATGACGCGGAGGACCTCGGCGGCGTTGCGGCCGGTGGAGGCGGGGTAAGAGAAGATGGTGCGGATGGTCTTCTTGGGGTCGATGATGAAGACGGATCGGATGGTGAAGGCGATGCCCTTCTCATCGACGTTGGTAGCATCCTGCTGGTCGATCCTGAACATTGTCAGCTTGGTCCAATTATGATATGTGTGTGTGCAAAAAGAGACTTACATGTCGTAGAGGAGAGAAACCTGGCGCTGCTTGTCGCCAATGATGGGGAACTCGACGTTGCCGCCGGTAACCTCGCCAATATCCTTGATCCATCCCTCGTGGGACTCAATGGTGTTGGCAGAGAGACCAATCAGCTTGACGCCACGCTTGGTGAACTCAGGCTGAAGCTTGGCAAAGGCGCCGAGCTCAGTGGTGCAGACGGGAGTGTAGTCCTCGGGGTGAGAGAAGAGAATGACCCAGTTGTCGCCGATGAACTCGTGGAAGTCAATCTTGCCCTTTGTGGTCTCGGCCTGGAAGTTGGGGGCGATGGAGCCCAGACGAAGGGGAGCGGGAGCAGACATTTTTGTTTCCTGTAGATTTCTTTTTGGGTGATGATGAGAAGAAATATGAAGAGGAGGAGGTGTTTGCTTGGAGGGAGGGGTGGAGAGGGGGGGATTATATAGGGAGATGTGGTTTCTTGGGGAGGGAGCTAGCTTGTACCTTGTTGGAGCAGGGCAGATTGGATTGGAAAGAGGCTTGCGTTATTAAGCTAAGATGACGGACGATCTGGGTTGAATACGCCACGAGGGTAGTGATATTGGTGATTGGAAAGCCAAGCTTGGGGGGCTCGGATGTTGGTGTTGGCGTTGCAACGGTAACCAACCCCTCAGACTCTGAATATTCCATTCCTCGGCACTCTATTCTCGAGTAACTAACATATGTTCAACTCTATTGACTGTATTACTGTCTAACTACTCAAGCCATCCCAGCCATACTATCTCTAACCCTCTTAATGAAGTTCATAAGGCCCATCATGACAACCCCGCCATAAAAAGAGAAGCATCGCGATACAGATACAGCACCCCTCACTAAAAAGGGTGTCCCCCCCACCATCATCAGCCCCTCACTTGACCCCAGAGGGGCAAGGCTCGGAATTGCGTGCTGTGTGTGTGTGGTGATTGGCTGGGTCTGGCGCATTGTGCCATCGGGTGCGGCAATGCTGCCATCGAGCTGTTCCTGACGCAATTGCTCTCCATGAAGAGGCGATGGGCCGGGGGGAGATTGTGGAGGATGAGGTTCGGAAGTCGGGGTTTGTTTTGAAGGATCAGTTAAGCTTTGTTGATTGTGAAACATGGATTAATTGAGTTGTGTATGTTGGAGTATTACAGAAGAGATGGGGTTTACATATTATACAGTATCTTCAAGTGAAGTTTCTTTATCGATTGAGTGATGAAATGGTGATGTTGCGGTTCATCGCTGGATGGAACAAACCCCGCCTGTCAACCCATCTTCACAAGACGCCATGACAGCCAACTAAGTCTGGTCCTTATCACACAACCATCTCGTCACATCGCGTTACGACTCACGTCAAAGATGCAATCGCAATCAGAAATACTCCCGATATCCAAGACAATCCATACCGCCCGAGCCGACCGGCGCTGCTGTAGTGCTGATGCTTTTGAGTTCAGTTCAGGGTAATCGGCGACCCTAGAACCATTTAGAGCGTGAATGGTGTGCGGAGATGAGGCTGGAAGCATATGAAGGATCAGAACATCACATATGTTTCTTTATGCATGTAGTGACATGGCAGAACTTACTATGTACTCCTGTTAATCTTGAGCACCAATATCCTCTTGAATGTCCATGCTCGTTGAGTCGATGCGTGTGAAACAAATAATGTATCCAAGAAACTCAGCGCACAGGCACGTCAACGCGAACTCAATGCCAACAAGACTTTCGATCCCGCCTCACAACAGCCTTGAGAGTCTGTAACGCATCAATAGCCCAACAATGATCCGAACGCACGATTGAGATCCGCCTTGCTCAATCGTGCGTTTGGATGCTAGCTCCATTCATGGATACCACTGACACCCTAGTCCTTCAACAAACACGATCGGGCCGCGTGGCCTAATGGCTAAGGCGCTAGATTTCGGCTTTCGAGCAAATCGAGAAATCTCTAGAGATTCCAGGTTCGACTCCTGGCGTGGTCGATTCTTTTTCCACTTGTGCACAAATGTGTCTTTTGACCTTTTTATCCCGTGTTTCAATTCATCCGTCTTGAATCAATGTTTCAACCAACTTGGCAATCATTCATGTGCCCAAGGAATGCTATTTTCAGCTGTATTTGTTACCAAATGTCTGGCTTTGCTGTTTGGCACACAGTTTGGAGTTGCCAAGCTCATCTTGGCAGTGGCGTTGCTGTTATGCATGATTCTAGAACCGAGGCGTTTTAAAGATCGGTAAGCTTAAATTAGCTTCAAGACCAACCACTCATTCAATAACGCATCACAATTATCTCAAACCGATAGACTTCATTCATTCATCTCGTAAGACAAATCTCGCATGACTTATCATCATAGATCGCCCATCACTTTAGATGAATCGTCTTCAGCCGCAGTGACACATTTCATCATCCAGTGGAACCTCACTCATTGCGATCGCCTCTGGCTTATTCGCATCTGATACGTGCGAACCCACAGGCTGAAACCAAGGGACCCATGTGCCCAGTGTCAGAAGTTAAATAATCCCGTGCAATAACTGCCGCTTCTGTTACGCGTCGGACCTTATTCCTTGTTTCTTATACACTCCGACATCAAATCATGTAGCAGGTTATTAAGGGGTAGTGGAGAACGATCAACACTCTCTGCTTGGTTTTTTCTGGAGCGATGGCATCGCAGATGGAGAGTGAGTGTTTGGGATAAGGAGCGTGAGCGAGTTTTATAGAGTATGACCCCGGGTTGTTCAACTGATGTTACTTCTTCCCTTCTTTCTTGTTTGTTCCGTGTTGTCTTAGCCACTCTTTTGTTATTTTTCTTTTTAAAAACGTCGTCTTGATGATGATGTCTACAATGTCGCGGTCTCCATTGATGACGGGCGTTACCATCGCAGCCATTATCTTGTTTTTCGTCGTTGTCTTTACCTCTTTCCAAGAATCATTAGAAGTTCCGTGGGTTTACGCCCATCACAGAGCAGAAGAGTACTGGGAAAATTCCTTCTCGTACCCGTACGTCAAAATCTCTTAGTCTCGCTCGCCGACCGTTGAATTCCCCGGGATTTGATGACAGCGGGCGAAAAAAACTTGGCATTGCTCTTGGCTTGCGCTAACGATTGTTTAACTTTACTACAGACCACCACAGAACAACACCGCCCCCAACAACTCTACACCTGAAGTTCAAGAGTTGAACTGCGAGGATCCGTATCGAAGACCTGGTTATCTTTATATTCCCGCTGATATAAACGGTACCGATCAGTATAAAAAGACACAATGGATCCCATTCACAGATGATCTGCTTGAGGCAGATGCACCCGATTATGCGGTGTATCCTGCAGCTGGAGATGTCATCTTCAACGCGACGGAACCTGAAGAGGAATTCGTTCAACTTGCTTCTACACCGCGACAGTGGCTTGCTGAGGCTATTGCTGAGAGTGACCGACGAAAGAAGGCGATAAACGCCAATGGCGAGGCTGGCGTTCAGGCGTTCGCTGAGATGAAGGATGACGGCGGCTTCGGCTGGCTCTGGGGTCGTCGCGTCATCCTCTTCAGCGACTCAGTCGATCGATTCATGATGCAGTTCTTCTGCGGCGAGTTCAAGCGCGGTATGAAGCAGCCTAAGCCACACACAGTCGCCTCCTGCGAGATCCCCGAGTTCAACTTGACATTCCACCACTGGCACTTCGCTGGCAGTATGACATACCGTCCCGATTGGTGGTGGATGGACGACATGGAGGAGATCTCCCTCGAAGAACGATGGGATAAATACTGGACTCCCCTCCACGACCAAGTCCGCGGTCCAAATGGCCACCCCGATCTAATCCTCTGGCAAAACGGCCTCTGGGACCAACGCGCATTCTGGGAAGCTGGTGAAGCTAACCACGAGAAAGACGTGTATCCCATGGGAACTCGCGTCCGCCAATTAGTCTGGCAAGAAATCCGCTTCGTCGCCGCTCGAATCCGCACGTTTGTTGAGAGAATACACACTGAATTCGGGGACGCGCCTGTGATGTTCCGCGCGATGACTATGCATCGTGAGAGCGATGCTAGAGACGCGAGTATCTATGATCTTGATAGGCTTGCACGCGCGACGGCGGAGAAGGCGGGCCATGAGGTGTTTGAGTGGGGACGCTTGATCTCTTCGTTGTCGATGCTGTATAAGGATCAGACGCATCCGGGCAAGGGACCTGCGAGTTGGCTTTGGGGAAACATGGTGCTGGAGTATCTTGCGAGGGCCGGCGGTGCGGGTGATGAGAGGAGAAAGCCGTACTTTGAGGGCTGGGATAAGTGCCATGATAAGTTGGTACATTGGGGTGGACGATAGACTGCATATATCCATACATACTTTATGACAATAGACTAATACATTATCCAACAATACTTCTCTATGATACCACGTAAGGTGTTCGATATATACTCAACGGTAAAGATGCTATCGCCAAGGGTTGAACCTGGACATAGTAGCAATGCTCCTGATGAGACTTCGGATGGACGATACACACGCTCTTAGCACTCACTGGCGGAGACCTAGACAATAAGAGAACTTGGGCGTTCTTTATAGGCATTTCGCTCATTGAAAAAGTAAACAAGTGTCAATTGACCAAAACGAAGTAACAAAACAGTTCAATTGCTCGCGTAAGTTGAGTAACGCCTTTCTATGCAGCCAGTCCATTCCACCATGCCAATCTGTGTCATTAACTCGTTGAGAGCCCATTGGCTTTACAATATGAATACCTAAAACCGTACTATTCGTCACATTTTTTCTCTATTCGTGCGACGTCGCTTCCACGAGGCTCTGAGAGTTCCTTCACCCTCGCGACCGCAACCTCGGCCCGCTCAGCATCCGGCGCCTCCGATGTAAATACCAGCGCCAGCACAAGCGCAGCATCAAGTCTTAGCAAATACTCTTCTTGGGCTGTAACATCAGGCCAGGTAGCCACTTCAGTGTAACCTTTGACGAAGCTCTCGTCGAGTTCGCTGAACTCTAGCGTGCGAAAGATGTCAACGGCTGCTGGGCCGACGAGAGTATTGGTCCAATCGATCACTCCGCTTATTTTTCCGTCCTTGTGACGGAGATTCACGTCGCGAAAGTCCATGTGAAGTAGACTTGAAGGGAAGCGTTTGAGACCTTTGAGGATATTGTGAATGAGGCCCCAGTCTGTTATCCAGCTTGAAGCCTCTGGGACTGTATGCGACAGCACTGAGAAGCGTCTTTTGAGTCTTTGTTCAACTGTTGAGAACACGTCTTCTGTTTCCAACGCGACTGTTTTCATCGTTGGATCCGACAAGGGCGTTGAGTGTAACATCGCCGCTACACGTCCCATTTCCCCAAATGTGATGTCTGTTCTATCGTCGTCCACGTACTCGCATAGCATCGCTGGATAACCATCTTCTTCAAGGTACTTGTATGCTTTCGGAACAGGTACGCATGCGTTTTCCAGAAGCTTGTAGATCTTCATCTCTTGTTGGATTAGATCACTGGCGTTGGTGCTGGGGTCATTGGCGTTCTGGTAGACCTTGACTCTGGGTACTCTGAGAACGACAGGGCCATAAGCTGGCGAGCTTGCTTTATAAACGAGACATTCGAGACCTTCGCCGGCGGTTTTGATGTCGGTGAGGTTCTCTGCCTTGATGAAGTGCTGAGCTATATCCATTGTGATGCGCGAACAGTGAGTTGCCGGGCTACCGAGAATAAATCTGGGACTCTGTCTTCTTTCTACTTGCGCTGTCGGAAATGTGTAGGTTTCTTGGCAGGGGATTCTGGATGAAGCTCGTATACGCGCGTATAGCTTAGCGTCGAAGGATCGTGAATGAGTCACACAAGAGGTGAGAACTAAGTGACTTGGAATCCACCCACCGATTCGCCAACCTTCAATTACACAGCATTATCTCAGAACAGCGTAAGTGAAAGCGATAAGAAGCTACGGAATTAAGAGTGAGGTGTCGCAGCGCACGGATCTATTGCTATGATAAAACGTGGTGTTACTGATACTGAGTTACATGACGTGATGACCGCATTGTCCTCTTTGATCCCAGTTCGTGAATCATCCCATCTTGACAGACTTTCCTCAAAGCAACCAGAATAGAAGACTATGGGGAGTCTTGATCCAGTGCCGCCACCAGGGGCCTACGCCGGCAGCTCATCCTCCAACGTGGATATTGACGGAGGACCACAGGCAGTGGGAATATAGAACTAGCCTCTTGTTTGAACGAGACCCCGTATCTCTCAGATAGTTCGCTGAGGTCTCCCAAAGTGTACGGGACTTGGGAAATATCGAAGTTGCTCTGCAAGATGGACCGAAGTTTTGGGAATGACCCAGCTTGTTTTGCCTGGCACGATGCTACCATAGGTTGGTACATGTCCTTGTGGAGGTGTTTCGAGTCGATCCGAACATTGACAATAGAAGCAGGCAGAAGCTCGATTAAACTTGTCGGATCAAGTTCCTTGACACGAAATGTACTCTCAGCGAATACTCCAATAGTAAGGGAATCCCCACCAAGAACTAACGTCTCTAGTCTCTCAAACGTCTTGAGCGGACGGAGGGGTGAGGATATAAGAGGCCTCCTATATATTGAGTTCCAGCAGCATTCTAGGTAACGTAAGGAGGGCCGATGGGATTTGCCGAGTGCCAACGGGAGGCACCAGGGGTTTACAGACTCGGATCGCTGGCATATGTATATGAATGACTCAAGAGGGCCGCACTTTTCGAGGATCCTTTCCAGAGTTTTCGCGTTGACGCCCACGTTGAAGAGCTTCAGACAAGTGAAGTTTGCGAAAGGCACTTTAGGAGAGTCGTGTAATTTGTCTTTCCACTCGAGAACACCGGACTTGATGACAAGTGTCTTGATATTGGGCGCCATTTCGAACAAGTTCTCCAGTGTGCTTACGTCGCGGATGGACGCAGAGTGTGTGCTTTCGAGGTGTAGATATCGCAGGTCATGCAGCTTCTTCTGGGTTTTGCTTGCGAGTGTCTGACCGACGGAGTGGCGGTCTATCAAAGAGAGTAGCTGGAGACCAGGCATCCTGCATAGCAGAGTGTACAGGGGAAACGGTTCGACCTCATAAGTCAAGCGCCGGATGAAAGATCTCTTCTGTAGCTGGCGGCGATTTCTAAGGAACTCCGTGATCTTCTCCTCAGGCCATCCTCTTGCGTCGATGTTGTGGTAGATGTATGGTGTCGCGGCGTTGTTCAGGACCTGACAAGTGCGTGCAAGGCTCAGAAGGCCGGTGGTGATCTCAGCAGATGGCTTCTCCCATAGCTTCCCTGGATCAGGAGTTGCGGGTGAGTTTGGCTGGGGATAGTGACTCAGATGGTCATTTGTGCAGTGGCTGCAGAGATGCCAGCATATGTCTGCTAGGATCTCTGCGGGCATATGATCCAGGGCAGGCTTGATCATGACGAGTTGAGTTGGATGCGGGGTGCATAAGGGAGAAAGAAAAGAATGAGAAAAGAATGAGAAAAGAGTTGGTAGGCTTCCAAGGACTTATATGAGTGCAGGTTACACAAGCAAAGGAATAGTGACGCGTCAGGGAAACGCGTGAATGAATGATGAGATAGCCTGGGATATCATGTTTGCTAGGCTGCACAGCCCTAAGGTGACACAAGAAGCCACAAGGAAGCAATCAGTAAGATTGCTTCAGATACAGATGAAAACACGGCTACTGAGGTCAAACTCGGCGGCTGTTGCTGAGGAGTCATGGAACTATATGTACACTCCTAGATGTAAAGAAAGGTAACATATACTAGACAAATAATTCGTTCTTGGTTAATGGAGCAGCTCAGAAGCACTTCAGATGTATTAGGCTGCCAGCGAAATAACCACAACCTACTTCTAGTCCTGACTTCCTTTCCGTTCAAAAAGCCCCTTGCTCTCTGCACTGAACGATACGTTACATGTCCTGCTCAGCTGCGATAGTAGACCAAGATGGTGTTTGCTCCTTTCGTCCCGATCCTTCATCTTCTGTCGAGTGATATGTGATGGACCTGCGGATACCTCCTCAAGCGCCAAACCCGTCAAATCCCCTTCTACCCAATTATAGCATCGGACCTCCTTCAGCATCGGAAACGAGCCCAGCTTTACCGCCTCACCCAGTGCGAAAATCGGTTCATGGAGGCTTGTACTCTCCGAATCTATGGAGACGCTGCGGATTGACTGTGGCAGGAGATTGACAAGACATGTCCTCAGCGTCTTCTCGTTCTTGGCCATTTCAAAGCGGAGCCCTGGACCGCCTAGGATCAGCGTCTCAAGGTTGGTCAAACCCTTGAAAGAGCCCGCGATGTTCATTCCGTTATCATCTCCAGCCGGCGGTGGCTCCCAGTAAAGCTCAACATACCGTAGCGTTTTCTGTCGTACAGAAAGGACTTGCGGTAGTGCTTGGAGGCTGGTATAATCACCCACTGTGGATTCCACCAAGCGGTGCATCTCTGCGAACAAGCTAAATACGAATGATTCAAGTTGTGGGCACAAATCGACAATCTTTTTGAGGTCGTACGGGCAAACCAAGGTGTCGACAAGTTTGAGACATTTGACATTTTCAAGTCCGCTTGATCCCGAAGACCACGACAACGACAACGACAACAACAATTTGACTTGGATGACCAGTGTTTCGATCTTGGGTGCCTGTCGGAGCAAATCAGAGATCCGTAGCTTGTGGGAGGTGCCCTTGCTAGGACACTCAATGTGAAGATACCGTAGTGAAGCCAGCATTGTTCGACGGGAGATCTTGATTTCATGCTTCCAGTTGAGGCGTATATGGAGAAGCTGGATCTTTGGCACATTACGCAACACCATATCATAAAAAGTCAAACGTCGTTTTTGGCTATCCGGCAATTTGTTGTAAAAGGCGTCCATTGCCTTTGTATAGGCCAAACTGAGACTGCGAACATGATCGAGGCCGTTATGTCCACAGCCTCTGATGCGTGCGATAAACTCCTTGGTATAGAGGATGTCGCTCTTGAGTTTGATGCGGTGATAGCGATGGGGCAGAGTGAGTGTGTTCAGCGCTTGACATGTCTCGGAGAGATTGACAAGAGTTTTGATGCCTTGGGCATCATGTTCCCAGATTTGGCCGGAACAAGAGGTGCCAAGTGCTTCTTTGTGCGGGAAGAAATAAAGGGGCTTCATCTGGCAGTGAGTGCAAAATAGTTTGCATATTTTATCCATTATCTCTGGAGGCAGAGAGAGGAGACCCATGGTGATGGCCGCGAATGCACAGCAGCGAATGAGTTTGGGGGACTGTGAGAGATGAGAGATGAGAAATGAGAAATAGGAAAACCGATAAATAAACCAGCTAGACTGATCTACCATGATAAGTAAAATAAGACCAGGCTCAAATTTCAGGAAGGCTACCTAGGCATATGCAAGAGCCCACAAGCCACTGTTACACCAGGAAAGCCGCGTTTTGTTTTTGGTGTGCTGGCGAGGCTGTCCATTGACATCAGCCCTCAACGGCCAACAACTTGATAACCAACTCAAACTACTAGGTATTTGTGCAACGTACTTGAATTACATTGGCGGAAGATGAGTCATAGATGATGCTCAGAACTTTTCCTTGGAAAAAAAGAATGAAAAACAAAAATAAGAACAAAAGGTTATAATCTTGGGATACAACACGAAAAGCCGGCGATGATATTCAGAGCCCTTTCGTGTTTGATGAGTATAAGAAGAAAGAACAAGTTTTGAGTTTTAAGATCAGTATAATTTAGGATAAATTTGACGATACATCTAAAAACATAGGAGCGTTCTAGATAAACTAGGTGTCTAAGTCATGGATTGTACAAAACAGCCGCTAATATCCAAGGCGGTGATGTGCTTCCATGGCCGCTGCTGCAGGAGTGCTGGAAGGTGTTTCAGCTGGAGGAGCAGGGGCCGAAGGCGCAGACGGTGTAGGAGGGCTTGCAGCGGGAGTACTCTCAGCAGGGGGCGCGGGAGGAGCTTCTTCCTCGGCCGGAGTAAACGCTGCATCTGCCAACGGGATCTCTCCAACTGTCCCGCCTGTAGCTGCACCCGCGTCGACGTTGGCCAGGGCACCGGCTGCCTTCTTGGAGAACTGGACCAAGTTTTCCTCAGAGGGGCTGGAAGCGGTCAGTAGCTGTGTAGTACAGAGTGGAGTCGGACTCACGGGTTGATGGCCATCACCTGACCAATCTGACAGTGCGGGCCGGTAGCACAGTACAGATAGATGGGCTCTGTGTTGTTCAGAGGAACATTAAAGGTCCCAACGGTTGTCTGGCCAGCCTCGAAAGGAATATGTCCACTGTGGATGACTCCAGACTGTGTAGCCTGGAGTGGCTGGCATGGAGAGTCTTCAGAGCTTTGAGTGACGGTATGATTTCCATTACTAAATTGGAATTGGATCACGTCTCCGGCTGCTGCTCGAATCATGTTCGGAACGAAGGTATCTTGAGAACCACCGACGACAACGGGAATGATTCTGTTGGCTCGTGCTTCGAGGGGTGGATTTCTCTTGACTGTCAAGTATCAGCATGATATGACTCTTGGGTTGAGTGTGAGAACCTACTCGAGACTGGTTGGTGAACTTCAAGCTCATGAAGTTCCCGCGGGGACATTTCAACGAGTGGCATAGCAGTAGCAACTGCAGCCCACAACAAAGTCTTGGCCAACATCTTGAATATTATCAACAAAACCGAAACTCAAAACTGGGTTGGTAATGAGCGTATCGTAAAGAAGGTCCAGCCAACTAGCAATTCTGAAATTAACAATTATAAATCCTCACCAGGAGGGTAAAAGAAAAGAAAAGAAAAGGAAGAGAATTTTGATAAACTCAAAGAAGGTAAGAAAGGTAAAACTGATCTGTGAATCAGACCATTATTCCCGACTGCAACTCAAGTTGATCTTATAACATTTTCAAAATCACTGATGATCGGGCACATGCGGAGCCTCATCTCTGGGCCGAAACTCGAGCTGTGACAAGAATCTGGATAGAGTTGCTCTTTCGCAAGATATGACAAATTTGCTAGCAAATTTGCTAGCAGCCAAGATGTTTTGCAAACCTGTCTTGTTTCAGGGTACGGTTACGTGGTGTTTCATCAGCGACCAAGATTTATAACCGAGATACGGTTTTAAGTAATATTTCATGTTTTGTGTCTTTGATTCATGTTTTAGAGTGATATTTCAAGTTTGTAAGCATTAAGGACAGTGACAAACTGGTATAGGGTTTTTGAAACGGGCATGCGTGGCTTTCGGCATGTGGGCAGGTATTTCGGGCTTGGCGATCTTGATAGAGGTTTGATGTGATGTTGCATGAGTGATTCATCTGATGAAGCGCTTATAGTGACCAGATGAGGAGGTTTAGGGACCGAGAGGTTGAGCCGCAGGAGGTGAAATGATTCGTGGTCTCCTTCAAGCTTGTTTCATCAACATTAGGGAATGGGTGGAGATAGTCGTGATGTTAACCATAAATACAGAGCACTGCCACTTTATAGACTTAACAATTAAGTTTAATATCTGTTGCGCATGAAGATAAGTGTTACAATGTGTTGGCATGATGTCACAGAGGTGAAGCGTGATGTGGCCTTGAATCCTCGATCGAGACCTGATGAGTCCAGCGATGTCACCAGCCAGCCACTTCACTTATCGCAAGATAAGACATCTGCTTACCAAACTCACTTGAACTATTAAGCAACACGCACTTGTTCTCATAATCTATCAAGTCTATGAGAATTACCCCGTGGGGGCATGCCTATCCCCGCAGAACCCCAACCCCAATTAGCCTGATCTTGCTCCCCGCAAAGACCCCAATCTGAACATCGTCACTTTGCCGCTACCAACCTCCAATCCAAGCTTTCGTTGGTGGAATTTTAATTACCGATCGTGCCTTGACCGAACTAACATTAGTGAGGTTCCATTGCCGGGGATTCATCGAGGATTATATTAACTACGGCATCGAATATCCGAATAAGCTTGCAGATAATATACATCCTCGAATGTGATTTGTGGATTTTAATACGTGAGTTTTGGATAAGATCATATGCTTTGGGGGTTCAAATGAAGGAGGATCGGCCAATGCAAGGTGGAACTAGTAGATTTATATAGCAGCTGCAAGACCGTAGTATTTTATTCGGGATCAAGTGTCACGTATCTCGACATGAAGGGCTTCATCATCAAGACGGCAATTATTGCCGCGACTCTCTTTTCCACTGCTACTGCATCCGCTAAAGGACCTGTTGACACGTACAAAAAATGTCAACGCCAGACAAAGCGTGCTACAGAAGGATGTCCCAAGGGCACTCTCTTCGTAGCCAAGGATGATCCACGAGCAGACTATTCCTCCATCCAAGACGCCATCGACTCGTTGGGCAACACAACAACCGCAGGCCATATTCTCATTGCACCTGGAAACTACAGCGAGCAGTTGAACGTCACCCGCCGAGGTCCTCTCCATCTCATCGGTGCTTCAAACAAACCTTGGGTCAAAGATCTTTACGCTGATATTGACGTCAACACCACGGCTCAGAACGACGTTCAGATCTGGTTTAATCTTGCGAACACAAACAATGGAAGCTTGAGTGATAATGTGTTCACGAGTGTACTCACCGTTGGACCTAATTTCAACGCTACCCTGACTGGATCCGGACCTACGGGCTTTCCAGTGCCTGCAGACACGCCGTTCGGATGCACGGATTTCAGGGCGTACAACATCGACTTCAGGAATGATTTTGCGCCCAGATCTAGTGGACCTGCGCATGCGGTTGGTGTGAGCAGGGCTAATGCGGGCTTTTATTCCTGCGGCTTCTACTCTTACCAAGATACTGTAAGTCAGATCCTAGAATTTATTTGACGGCTTCAAGCTGACTTTATAGGTCTACGTTGGAAAACTTGGAAATGCTTACTTCTACGACAACGTCATTGCTGGAGAGACTGATTTCCTGTACGGTTTCGGCACAGCATGGATTGAGAAATCAACACTATCTCTCCGAGGCTGCGGCGGCGGCATCACAGCTTGGAAAGGAACCAACACGACATTCACCAACAAATACGGCGTCTACATCGACAAATCGCAGGTCATCCCCGTAAACTCCACCATCGCCACAAACTTTGTTGGAAAATGTGCCCTCGGTCGACCATGGAACTCGCAGCACAAGTCCATCTTTATGCAGTCGTACTTTGATGCTGTGATCCTGCCTGCTGGGTATATCGAATGGAGCACGTCGACACCAAGAGTTGATAATTACACTTTCATGGCGACGTGGAATGATCATGGGCCGGGATATGATGTTGAGGCTGAGAAGGCGAGTAATGTGACGAAGGTATTAACGGATGCGGAGGTCAAGCCTTATAGAGCGCCTGCGGATGTATTCCAGACACCTGAGGGAAAGTTTGGACATGTCAAGTGGATTGACAAGAAGGCTCTGTAAAGACTCTCAGCTCGACTAGGGTTACACCAATTTGAGATATCCCGCGGTTCAATCATGACATGTGATATTGTGATTCACCACCACCATGACTCGGCATCAAAAGCCCGAACTCTTTACCCTCTCTAGCCCGAATGTCTCAGTTTGACAGCCTCAAGCAAGGCATGTCTCAAACTATCACAGTTCTCAGATATTTATTCCCGCCTTGCTTTCGTGATTTGACGCGAAGAAGTAACCGCTGCCAAGTGAATGAGGATCCCCAAAGCGAGATGAGATTTGAATCCATTTGCAGGGGGTGTAAACTCTGTGTCCAATGGCGCGTTTCATTTCTTTAATTGCCCCTTATTTTAGTTCGCGGGCTAGCTGGGTAAAAGACGCTAAGATTAGTGGTTGGATGATTCGGGATCGGGAGGTGATCTTCACATGAGAAGGTGAGCCAAGATGGTACGATTTATGAGCATTGGCCTCTACAAAGAATCAGATATATGATCAAAGTGTATAGTTGAGAAATAATAAGAAAAGTATCTTGAATTGAATACTGACTCGGGCGGAACAGCTCTCCGAGGGTCTGTGATAATCTATGCCCATATCAAGTAGGTAGGTAATACCAATGACACCAGTGGCAAAGCAAACCAGTTACATCCCAACGAACAAGCCACTTCCCCTTCCCCGGAGGAAACGTTCCCGGTAATAAGAATCCTTCAACGGGCATCCATCAACACATAACTAACCCCCCTGCCTGATATACCAATCTGACATCTCCCTCCTCCACTTTCTCCTCTTCATCTCACAGTATGAGCTGACGAGACAAATTCTGCCTTCGAGGCGCCTTCGAAATGGGCTACTCAGGCGGCGACGACCAACGCAGCCCTTCGATAACGATACCCATTGCAGTCTGTATGGGAATTTCTCTATACAATGCTATTGAGCTCAACGTTTTGATTCTTACGACGTTCAAGACAAGGAAGAGCTTGTACTTTTGGAGCTTTCTGGCTGCTACTAATGGGATTGCACCTCATACTATTGGCTTTCTCCTCAAAAACTTGGTCTTTTCTGATAACTTTGTTTTGTACATCACGCTTATTTCTGTTGGTTGGGTTTTGATGGTCACAGGTCAATCACTCGTCTTATACTCTCGACTACACCTTATTTTCTGGAACCAATTCATTCTAAAGCTTGTCCTGGCTATGATTATCACCAATGCTGTTGTTTTGCATATTCCGATTATTATTCTTATGTACGGCGCCAACAGCAGCGACAAAAATCCATGGGTCCATCCTTATCAGATCTACGAAAAGATCCAAGTCACGGTGTTCTTCTTTCAAGAACTTATCATTTCAGCGATCTACATCAAAGCGTGCTCCTCATTCTTTGGGACAGAAGGGCTTTTATATCGGAAAGGTGTCCGGCGAATGAGGAGGCATTTACTCCTCGTCAACGTCATCATAATTCTTCTCGACATTCCGATCCTGGTCCTCGAATTCGCAGATTTTTACGACTTCCAGACAGCTTACAAAGCGATCGTCTACAGTATCAAGTTAAAGCTTGAGTTTAACCTTTTGAATCGGCTTGTGGATGTTGCAAAAGGGAATGATACACGTGGGGCGGAGACTGGAAATCAAATTGTGCATTTGAATGCTTTTGAGCAAGATTGTGCTGGATATGTGGCCAAGGACAGTGGGTGTGGAGATATGGAAAGGGATGCAAATACGAAGAGACGAAAACGAGGGAACTCGAATGCGGATGATAGGATTTTAATTGAGACGGAAATATCCGTTAGTTATGTTGAAAGAAGGGAGGATGATAATGAGAGTACAGGATAAAAGATGTCAATATAGGACTGTATTCACGAATGAAATGGCTTGAACTCTCCAACTGGCATATTGCAAAAGAACTCTATTCAAAGTTCAAGTGAGAGCGTAAAGTCGAGGTCGAAAGGCTAAACTTTATACTTTCAAGTTATATAGACAACATTGGGGATACTGCCAGGCCACAAACTTAAACTTTAAGCAGTTGATACCTTATAGGAAACAGGAAACGATGCTTTCTTACGATATAAAGTATCTACTGTTTCTTAAAGTTTCTACTGTGGCTATTGCATCTGATTTGTTGGTGCAAGAAAATTCTTACACTTTAAACATAGAGTATCATCTAACTTTCGTTGGACAGAATTTCGCCTTGTGACTCACAAGGCGTCAACTCTTTCCTCTTCTGCCTATAAATAGCCATCTTTCCCTCCCAGAATTAGAAAATCATTCTCACTTCTCTTCAAGATTTTGTGGCCCTTGGCAGACAAGATCCTTCTCATCCCAACATGTCATCCAGTCTCTGACAGCAGCCATCACTTGCCAAGTGATGAAAGCAAGTTCTTCAGCACACGTACTGCTCGGCTCATGCCCTTTCGCTCTTCTTGGTTCCGGATCTATCTTGGCATTCGCCCAGAGGATGAAGCAACCATGTCTTAGCGAGGCTGAGCCTCAATCTTCTTGAGTCTCCAATCTTGAGATCAGATGCCGCAGCCCCCGATGCACTACCAACAATCAACAGACAAGACCGCACCTTCATATCGGTTACGAGATCCCATCCGTGGGCTTGGGAAAGCTCCTTGGAGTTGATCTGTGGCTCTGATCAAGATGAACACATCGCCACCACTTGGGCCTTTCCTAATCCATCCATCCCTCAAAGTCGTCTCGACAATTGCGAAATCGTCAAGAACCAACCAAGCCTGGTTCTCCACCCCGACTACACTAGATCAGCAACCTTGGCCTCAATCAGGGTCAAGATGTCGAACCCGAACAACCAGCGACTGGGACCTGGGGCTGAGAGCTTATAATCACCACATAGAACTCAGGTTCTTCTCGCAACTTTTGTCGCAACCGCCGTGCCGAGGCCCTACTCATCGTCTGCGGTATCCGAGTTATTTTCATCAGTGTCTCAAAATTGACGCTCCTTGGACGAGTGCTGTCGGAATAAACAAAAATGGTTTTCAAGAGAGCCTCTTTCAAGAGAGCCTCTTCTAGCATAGCACCTACCATGAATGCTACATGCTTCGAGAATACTGCCTGTACTGAAGATTCCTTGTCAGTCAGAGACTACAGGTTCCTCTGGATGCTCGTTGAGGACCTTTTCGAGAGATTTAACGAGCATCTTGTCCCTTCCAAGATACAGAACAACAGGAAGGGCGACCTCATCAGGCTCAGATTGGTGATCTATAGCTCTCACCACCTTGCCTTTCAGTTCACCTATGGTGGCGAGTTGTGTATTTTTCATGATACTATAAGTGAATACGGCAACAGCGGCGTGAGCCAAAGCTGCACTTCCAGGCTGCGTCTTGAACAGCCCGAGACATCCAGATGACAAACTCCGTTCCAGCGGCGACCTGCCATCGACAAAGATGCACTACCTCACGGCAAACTCACAAGAGACGATATCAACCGTATAGAGGAAGAGCGCAAAAAGATGAAAAACAAGATCTACATCGCAAACAAAGGCGAAGGCGAGCACGCACGTCGCTCACAGGCAATACACGTTCAAGGAACAGGCCAAGCGGCTCTTGGTGGGAGGGACGATGAATGAAGGGTAGACAGCATCCATCCTTATCGTTGAGAAGAGAATGGGATGTGACCATGCGAGTCGACTTTAACATTAACGAAATTACATCTGGGTAGTATAGGAAGCCAGACACAAAGACAGACGGCTTGTGTCGGCCATGGCTGTAGTGATAGATCTGATTGTTACATTCGTCTTGAATAGCCATGCACGGTGATGCACCTCGGATATTTATTTCCTTGCTTAATTAATCTTGAGGCGAATAATTTGGGGGCCGTTTCCTAGCCGCATATCTGTGCCCCTTACCCGCGTGGTCATCCGTCTTACATTGCAGAAATAAGGTTATCACCTAACACTGAGATAGTATCCTTCGACGATTATGTGCTTGAAACAGATGAACTCGAGCGGTTTTGGAAGCGGGAGTTTTAAAATCCCCGGAGAAATAACCGAAGACGCCCGGTTATTGAGACAATGGGTCTGGCGCATTAGAAATCTGACCGCTTAATGGTTGCTTCTTGAAGGATTGCAGTCTAAAAAGGGCTGGGCTAGGATCCGCTGATCTAGGACGGAATTGGTTACCTGCGCGGACCAACCTTGCATGACCGTTGGACAGGAACGACAAGGTTGTTTCAGCTTTTTGGTAGGGTTAGAAATTCACTCAACAAACATTCGGGGGTCTTGGGCAAAGAATCGTTGTATAATATCTCTTGTTCAGTTACATAAGCTGCAAGGATTATGCTGCATTCATCTAGGTATCGTTAACTTACACAGCATAAGGTGGACTGAAGCATCGTCTGCCGACTGTCAGATCAGATCTTGGCGTTAACTATCCTTAAGCAACACGCCTAACCAGGATCATCGTGACAACTCAACTAATCCGGCCACAGAAAGCCTAGCCTAAACATGTCTCTCTAAGAGTCTAAACTGCCCATCCCACAAAAACGCCTCGTTCTTGGCACCGCTCACACCCTCGCTCCAAGCACCAGCCAACCCCCGTCAATCCTTAATTTTCAGCTCTGCCTCCAAAAGAGATGAGAAACCCCGCCCCTCGACTTCTCATCTCTCTTTCCCGCTTCCTTTATTCCCTCTGCTGACCACTCGAGTCATCCGTCACTGTCTGGCAAGATGAAGTATCACGGCCTAGTATTGCTTGGTGTCTCCGCCGGAGCAAACGCTCTAGCCATCGCTGAGGCGACAAAGCGTCGAGATGCGGGCTACATGTATCAGCCTGATCCGACCCCCATTGTGGGCATCTCTGATCTGAGGCATTTGGCGCTGGGCAAACGTCAGGAGACTACCGCTGCGGCATCGACCTTTACGATTGTTGTTAGTCCTGACTCAACTTGTGGTTTTTTGTCGGGTTCGCCTGGAAATGCGATTACTTGCGGTAACGGAGACAAGTGTAGTTGGGAGCTGCGGTATGCTACGGCCATCTTTTGCGGCACTCAGGCCTACAATCGCTGTTTGGAGAGAGATGAGGCTCTAGACACAAAACTCTGCAATGATGTTTGTCAGAGTAACCAGTATAACCTCCTTTGGTGAGTGAATCAATGGCTTGATAGTGAGTAAGTAACTGACTGACTGTCTTAGCACCAATACTGCTTCGCCTTATTGCGGAGCATATAATTATCCTTCTGGTGTTGTTGGCTTTAGATGCGCAACGGCATCAGTGACAGCCGCCCAGGATGTTGAGTTCACATACACCAGCCAAAAAGGCCGCAGCTTCTCTACGACAATGGTTTCTGATGAAACTACATCATCTATCCCCACAAGCTCAGAGCCTGGATCATCATCGACAGAGGAACCTTCATCAACGACTTCAGAAGCCGAGCCCACTGAATCTGACTCAGGCGGTGGTGGAAGCTCAACACCTGTCGGCGCCATCGTTGGAGGCTCGATCGGAGGTTTCGTCGCTTTGTCACTGGTAGTTCTCGGCGCATTCTGGCTCTGGCGAAAGAACAAGAACAAGAACGCCGCTCAACCATCGCCTCAACAACCACCCGCGGCAGCAGCTTCATCGATGCCTCCCCCAGGTCATTATGGTGATACTGTACCCCCTATGGCGCAGCATTACCCAAAATCAGATGTTACGTCACCAACACAGTCTGAGTGGAGGGAGTCTATGATTACGGCGCAGACTGCTACTACGCCTGTGCAGAATCAAGCTTGGGATCAGTATCCCCAGGGTTCTCCATATCCCCCTCAGACACAGCCGCAGGAACTACACCCACAGGGAAATCAGGGGCTTCAGGATGGTCAGGTCCACGAGATGCCTTCTGATCCTAATTACCGTTGAGATGGGTCAGGGGGAAGGAATTAGTACCAAGGGGTTTGTCGGGGAGGGATGACGGCTTTATATATATCAAACTGACGAAGGTTTTTATGATTTGTCTTTATAATTCTTATTGCAAATTTAAACAATACCATTTTCATACAGCAACGTTGGACTCTATAGGCTTCTAGTTTATAGGATTTGGATTTTAATAAATATCAATTGCCTTGAATATCAAAATGATTTCGAGTAAGACGGCATAGACCAGCTGACATGTCACAAGATTAAGCTTAAAACGCCACGATAGTTTTGACAGGTTGCCTCTGAATCAGCCTCACTAGTTCATGCGCACCACATCGCTCTGTTGAATTATTCGTGATGCTTTTGAACAGATTCGTTGTAAATCTTAGCAAGACTCTTTCATATGCCAAACTCGACTCCAATGCGTCACAACAGGATGTATGATAAAATGAAACATATTTGTCAATTCATTCGCTAAATCAATTTGATCGGCTACTCAATCTGGCCTCATTCTCAACCTCATAACAATCTCATGTCTCGTTCTCCTCTCGTAATTTCATTCTTACAGGCGGAATTTCACCTCGAGCTCGCCAGGTGCCTGGTAAGTAGGGACCTTCATCTCCAAAGCCTCACCAGAATATCCAAGATCCTCCGCAACAAGCATAGCAGCCTTCTCACCAATGAGCAGAGCAGTAGAGTACGTGTTGCAGCCAACGTTGTCAGGGCAGATGGACAGATCAGCGACCTTGAGACCCTTGACGCCGTGGACGTTGAGTCTCTCGTCGAGAACACCGTGTTTGACGATGCTGTTGCCCTCCTTGGGTGCCATAGAGCAGGTTCCGAGGCAGTGCCAGGTTGATTCGGTGTGGCGCTTGACCCATTCTGTAGATGTTGGTTAGCATACTGATGATTGACATGGGGATTGGGGACCTCACCCTCGACGGCCTTGATGTCAGCTTCACTGTACTTGAGCTCCTCACGGACGTGAGCCTTGTTGGAGTTGAGGATGTTGGCACCAGGCTTGCGGTCGGCCTCAGGGAGAGGAGAAGACCAGCTTCCGTGGCCGATACCAGCAGTGAGATTGCCGGGAAGAGCGTATTGCTTGGTGGTGTCAAGGTCGAGATCATGAGCACGAGCAGGGCTGTCATAGTCGAAGAAGGGGTGCTAGAAAGGTAAGTGACTGCTTTGCACTGAAACTGTAGAGGACTTACCATGTTCTCGACTTCACCGGCGTAGGCGTCCATGCGGCGGGCAGTCTCACGAGACTTGATGTATCCCCAGACCATGGGAACCATATCACGCTCATCGTTCATCTGAGATGGTCAGTCTTTATTCATGGCAAGTGGTAATAGGACTTACGAATCCAGCATCAAAGTCAGGAGTGTCATATGGATCGGCACTCTTGATGTGAGTAAAGCCACGAGAGAAGGGATACTCGAGGAAGTGGAACATGGAAAAGAACTTTCCAGGGGGCCTATAGCCAATCAGTATCAATACAAACTTGACTGTGTCAGTGGACTTACATGAGCATGTGGTCACCGAAGAAACCGGCAATCACAGAGTAATGCATAACAGGCTTGTCCGGCTTGTTCTTGAAGTAAGACTTCCAGCCCTCAGTGAAGTGAGGCGTAGGCCATCTTTCAAAGTCCTTGAGCTCTTGCTCGGTAGGGCGGATCTTGACACCAGCATCGATACCGTTGGTGGCAAGGGGTCCTGGCGACGATTTAGCACAAGATATCCAATACAAAAAGCCACGAGAAAGTCTAACCTGTCCCACGAAGATGCCATTCATCAAAGACGCGCTGTTTATTTCATTAGTTTAGATGTTCTGGTCATGAAGCTGTCGCGGAGGGGGGTTGGTTGTTGGTTACCTTTTGAACCTCGGGGTCTCCACGAACAAAGTCATCGAAACTCTCAGTATCAGGCTTAGCACGATACACCGAAAAGGTAAGATAATGATCCTGGAAATTAAGTCCAACACCAGGAAGATCAACCTTGGGCTCGACGCCAGCAGCGCGGAGCTTCTCGGGGTTACCAATACCAGAGCGCTGAAGAATCAAAGGCGAAGAAAGCGTACCGCCACTGACGACAATCTGCTTTCTAGCACGGAAGATTCGCGTCTGCAGCTGGTTCGGGTGCAGCGGCTTGGTAGGAACAGTCTGGACACCGACGGCCCGTCCATTCTCCATGATGATCTTGTCGACCTTTGTGTTGCAGGCCAGGTACAAGTTGCTGTGCTTAGCACGTGTGGAGTGGACATAGGCGTGAGCTGAGTCACTACGGCGGCCTGTGTCACGGTTGATCCATTTGAGCCAGTGCTCTGCGCCGTGGCCGGTGGAAAGATCCTGGAGGTCGTCGACGAAGGGGATGCCTTGGGACTCAGCGGCGCGGAGGAAGTCGTCCTTTACGGGGTAGGTGTAGTTACCGAAGGAGACTTTGATGGGGCCCTCGAAGCCGTGGATGTCTGGGTTGACTGAGTGGCGTTGATAGGTCTCGTGCTTCTTCATAAGGGGGAGGAGTTCCTCGGTGGTCCAGCCCTTGGCTTGGAAGTCATCGTCTGGGGTTGTTAGTGGTGTTTTAGGTGAGTATCGAGTGAGTTGAACTTACAGTCTGAGGCACTAGCTCGAGTGTACATCATGAAGTTGATGGAAGAACCACCGCCAAGGATCTGCAACAGTTAGTTCATGATCTTCACTCCTCTCAAACTTCAACTTACATGAGCACATGGCACAGTAGCTTCACGTCCGGCAAGCCACTTGCTAGGACGAGACTTGTAAAACGAAGCCGTCTTGGAGTCCAGCTTCATGTTACGGGGATAGATACCGGGCCTAAACACCCAAGGGTTGTTGAGGTTGCTCTCGCCGGCCTCGATGAGCAGAACCTTGAGGTTATGGTCAAGATTCGCCAACCGTCCAGCAACGACACAACCGCAACTTCCACCACCACACACAATGATGTCGAACTCCTCTGGCAGGACGCCGAGGCTGTTCGCGTACGAGTTGGGAGTCGCCATGATGAATAAGCTGCAACTTCTGAAGCTGCTTGATATTTCTGACAAACAGGGAGAGCTATACAGCTTATTTATAACATACACAGATGTCTGTAGCTCGATCTTTACTGTGTATCAGATGCCGAATGATCCCCGAGGGTTGGTAGCATGTCCATGGGATGCTGGATGCAGTATTATCAACTCTGCGAACCCCTCTCGATACAAGATTGCGGGCACCAATGGCATATGCATGGCAGGGTCATCTGGGGTAATAAGATTGTGGATAATGGTTTCATTCTCATCAGCTCTAGCTCTGTCTTGGTCTGGGGGAGTCTGGGGGAGCCTGGGGGAGATGCTGGTGCTGGCTGGGCACAGTATCTTGCTTGGCCTGCATGTCAGGGATATCATTTGCTTCGCCGCTTTGACTGCGGGTTAAGGTTTCCGAGACTTCCTTCTCCTATTAGAAGAGAAGAAAAAGACAATTGAGTTTGGCAAGTCGGTTTTGGGAATGTTGTTAAGAGGCGGAGATATCCGTCTGATCCGGTCTGAATGAAACTCATGGTGAACTTTTGGCAGCAGAACTGACTCGCACTTTGGTATCCGATCTCGTCGTCTCGAGCAACGTCAGTGCAACTCTGATCCCCGCCGGATAAAGCAGCTCCCAGCACCGTGCAGATACATACATGATACAAAATATAACGTATCATGTATGATATCCTACATGAGGCAAACTTCCCTTATCCCGAGAGCGAACCAACACAAAAACACAATACCAAGGATTCAAGTTGCATGTAAGATTACGACTTTACGGGCGTTTGCTACCCATGTCGTTCACCCCCAGGTTGTTCCCGGACAAATAGGCTTTGGGCTCTGGAACATCCGGGATCCATCGACAGCTAGAATGCGGGGAGACAACCACGCCAAGAGAGGGCTCGAGAGTTTGATGGTCGGCAATCATTGTTTCCCCCCGGAAAATGACTCTTACACGAAGATGAAGAGGCGGGGGTGAGCAAGGGTTCAGGGTTGCAATTGGCTTCTTTGCGGGTGAGATCTTCAGAGTTTTGGTGGAGTGCGGTCATTCCCCCTCAATCTGACTATCGACGTTTTGGTAACTATATCGGCTCTATTCTTGGCATATCATCAACCAACACTGCAAAACAAAAAGATGAGCATTTCTAACAGAGACCAAAAAACAACATACAACAGCGGGGATTCGCTGGTCGTCACCGACCCAACTACTAATCCGCCCCTTACCAGCTTATCTATGGGAGAGCGGACGGGATCCCGAGGTAGGTATGGTCGTATGTGGCTTGATCTTCCCTCAGTCTGCATTATGATCACGGCATTGAGATCCCGATCAAAGCTTCACTCTTCACTTTTCTTTTCCAAAGGGATGGTAATACATAAGCTTTAGACTACACGGTGTATTGTGGTCTGGAATGATAGGTCCACAAACCGTACTGTATCATCTGCACTGCAACGCTAATGTGTCCGCGTCAGCATTCGGATAAGTTGCAGCGAGGTGGAGAGGAGAAGAAGCTGCGGGTGGCATTCACGTCCTTGGCTTTTCATGTTCCTGCGGAATGTCTCAGTCCGTGTGTTTTGTTATGGTGATCCAAGGTCTGTATTCTGTATATAAACAAGACTCATATCCTGGATCAAGACAGATCAGGGTCCACATTGCAGTGAAGCTGTCAACAAGGATACTGTCTGTGCTGTAGTATTCGTCCTCGTGTCGACAAGTCTTGTGCTCAGATGCCCAGCGAGATCAACGCTTTGATCGTCGAGACGGAAACCTACTTCCCGCGCATTGGTGGACAATTAGATCCCGATTACTAAAACGCATCATGAAGTTGGGTAAGTTGAAGCGAGGATGGGTTTAAGCGAGGGGAGCTCATGCGGAGAAGTCTGAGCTAGAACGAAAGAAGCCCGCCCGTGGAAGCCTCGATATGGGACGTCCGACGTACGCGCATAAGTGAGCCATGCCTCGCTTTTAAGTTTTAACTCTCTCTGTGTGGGTTTATGTGGGCTCCCCACATGAGTCTGGACTTCCTAGAACCTGGGGGAGGAATGAAGACCCGGGACCTTGAACCTAAATAATAAAAAGACTTAGATAACCTCGTATAAGTTTACGAGAAACCTAGGATATCTTTTGCCCACGTTTATCTTAACACCTTATATTAAGGTCTAATGTTTTCTTGCTCCTCGAGCACGTTTTATATATAGCATATTTATGAAAGTCCTATATATGGCCAAATGGCATCTATCTTATTACTGGAATCTACTGGTTTCAGACAAAGGCTTTCTTAATATATAAGTAATACTTCCTGGATTTTCGGTGTGATGCCTGGTTGATATAAAGAGTTCTTGCTAAGACATCATCCTGAGGAGATGCCTTGATAGGAGCTTAGAAGAATTAGCAAATGGATGAGTGAAGAAGCTTGTATGTTTCTGGCTGTAGAGATGTTTTATCTAATTTTCTATTTACAGCTCATGACAGATATCGAGTGAGTCTATCGGCAACCGGTACAGATACGGGTGTGTACAATGTTGGTTTTTGTATTGGCAAAAATCTTCTCTGATCGACGCTAATAGTCTTAAAGTTCGATTTCTATTGTTTACACGTGAAACTGTCTTGTAGTAAGAGCGGATATTATACTCTCTCGTTTCTCTCGTTCTATTAAGTTTCTTTCTTTTCTCCCAGGTCAACCTATTATAATTCCTTGCCAAAGTCCTACGGATCTACGGAAGTATAGACTTATCTGCATGAGCTTACCAAGCCTATTATAAGTTGTTTCCTGATTTGGCGTCCGAGTTCAGCCTCATGTTTATAGCGTTCATCATTATGTAACGAAAGACGTGTACAATGTCCCGATGGTTGATTGAATACGTCAAAACTGGTACTGCTTCCCCTTTATGGCCACAGCTCACGGAGTACAGACTCCCGAGGTTTCAGTTCAGTGTTGCATGAGCATGTTTTCCTTCGATTGGTTGCCGTATTGATTTTGAAGCGCCATATTGTAAAGAGAATGGAGCAATAAGGGTTTATCTGCTTCCTTACACTACTATCCAATCGCAACTTCTTTAACATAAGAACCTCCCATGTAAAGATAGAACATATGAGGCTCTTTTAAATCATAATTAATCTATACATCAAGTATCCCTAGCTTTCTTCGACGCATAAAGCTTAATAGAATAAATTGATATTAGCATTTTTAGTGGTCCCGGTTTCAATAAACAGGAACTCGTCTTATCTCATGTCATCAGTCATATTATCAATCTTAAGACTAAAACTGTATACTTAAAATTATTTTAGAATTGTTCTCTGACATATCTACCCATGCCAAATGTAAGGCAGTCAGATATATAGAGCTGGTCTTCACATACTGGGTACCCTATACCATTCCGCCTCGTCATCTGGAAAGACAAAAGAGTAAAGTTACGCAAGATTTGGTATTATTAATGTATAAACTCCATCAATTATATATTCATACTTTTTACATACGATATCGCTGCACGTGGTGGCTAATCAACCCCTCCATGACAAACTCCAAATTGCGCCATCGAGATGACGTCTTACGAACTCTCGCAGCCCAGCCCATCAAAAGCCAGAAAACACGCGGATGTCTCGCCCCGAAACAAGAAAACAGCTTATCAATACAAATCACGTCTTCACTCCCCCAAACCCATAAGAAACCCAACATGTATCGAGTAGCTCACCAGCAACGTATCCAAAATGGCAGACTCGTCCAACGCGCCGCTGCTTCAATCGCGCAGCTCATATGGTTCAACTGATAAGACCTCTACGCACCATGATAGTGAAGCTGCGGGGGAGATACACCCGAGTCGAGATGTAGAAGACGATGTACTCCCCGAAACGTCGATCATTGGGAGGAATTTATCGTGGCAGAGCGCTTATATCCTCGTTATATCGCGCGTCGTCGGCAGCGGTATCTTTGCGACGCCCGGAACAATCGTGCAATCCGTCGGAAGCGCAGGACTATCGCTATTGCTATGGATAATCGGCGCTTTCATCGCAGCTTGCGGTCTTGCAGTGTCGCTCGAGTTTGGATGTATGCTTCCTCGGTCGGGAGGCGATAAAGTATACCTTGAGTTTGCGTATCGACGACCGCGATTACTTGCGTCTACGCTGTTTGCGATGTATGCTGTGCTTCTGGGATTCACGGCGAGTAACTGCATCATCTTTAGTAAATATGCGTTATTTGCGCTGGGAGTCGAAGCGACGGATGTGTTGAGCAAGAGTCTTGCTGTAGGACTTCTCACATTCGTCTGCATCACACACAGCGTGTTTCCCAAAGCAGGCGTCAAGATTCAGGATGTTCTGGGCTGGATAAAAATCGGCATCATCGTCTTTATGATCCTCTCGGGCTTCTACGTCGTCATCTTCCGTCCCGACACGAGCACGGCACCACTCACGCACCAGCTCGCATGGGAACATCTTTGGGAAGAGACGAGCTGGAACTGGGGCGTTATCGCAACGAGTCTCTTCAAGGTCTTTTATTCATTCGCGGGGTTGGATAATGCTGCGAATGTAATGAATGAGGTCAAGCAGCCTGTGAGGACGTTGAGGTCTGTTGCGTTGACGGCACTGGGGACGGCGTGTGGATTGTACATGCTTGTCAACATTGCGTACTTTTTGGTGGTCCCGATTGAGGAGATTCGAGGGAGTGGTGAACTCATTGCCGCGTTGTTCTTTGAGAGGTTGTTTGGGGAGAAGTTTGGAAGAGTTGTTCTCCCGACAGCTGTGGCATTATCGTCAGTCGGGAATGTCATGGTCGTCGCTTTCGCACTGGTAACTATGTCCATCCCATTTCCAGAAAGCATCAACTAACTGTAATAGGCACGAATGAAGCAAGAGATCGCAAGACAAGGCTTCCTCCCATACTCATCTCTCCTCTCCTCCTCCCGACCATTCAACTCTCCAATGGGCGGCTTTGTAATCCACTACATCCCGTCCTTTCTCGTCATGATCCTCCCTCCCTCTGATTCAATCTACTCTCTCATCCTCGACATCGACGGATACGCCGCGCAACTCATCGGGCTAGCCGTAGCAATCGGCCTTGTAAAGCTCCGCTTCCAACGTCCAGACCTCCAGCGACCCTTTAAAGCGTGGATGCCCGCGGTGAGTATTAGAATAGCGATGAGCTGCGCTTTAATAGCGGCGCCGTTTTTTAGGCCTCCGGACTACGAGGGGGAAGTGTTTTATGCGCTGTATGCGGTGTTTTCGTGGGTTGTTCTTGTGGGTGGTGTAGGGTATTGGTATCTTTGGACGAGGGCGGTGCCGAGGTGGAGAGGCACGAGATTGCAGGAGGAGACGTGTGTTTTGGAGGATGGGACGACGATCACGAAGCTAAGGTATTCTTAGGGAGATCGGAAGAAACGGTTGATGTGCATTGCAGAGGGAGATGTTGTCGATCACTCAGGTCCGGGACATCCTAGATAGAGATTGGGTGTGAAGAGCGTATCTTTGATGAAGAGATAGATCTGGTTGTTAACTTAGACAAGACTTATATAAACTCATCATAATACCTTAATTTTATCGCGAATACTGCATACTTATCGTGGCTGAGAAGAACTCCATTGCCATCTCTGTATTCTCAAATTCTGAATGGCCTCAACCTCCACTTCCTCTTCCACTTCCACTTCCTCTTCCTCTTCCTCTTCCACTTCCACTTCCTCTTCCACTTCCACTTCCACAGCGTTCCAAATTCTCGGGTCCGCAATCGCTTGCCAAGCCCTCATCGGCTCATCGTAAGATTGCGTTATGGGGTCAAATCGTTCTAGCTCGCAAACAGAACATGTCTAGCCTTATTCTGCCATTCATGTGTCCCACCCACCACGTTTTTTTTTTTTGTTCTTTATCTTCTACCAGAAAGAAAAAAAAAGAAGCCATCCTCAGAGGAGTTAGTGTAGACGTCGGTGGAGCAAGCGTTAGTTGAAACGAGACCATGTCAAGCCATGTTTTCTCGGACGACGTTGACGCCGAGAGAACTGTGACTCCATGTGATGACATGACTGAGTGAGTGAGTGAGAGTGAGTGAGAGTGAGTCTTTGTTGAGTTGAGGGTCTGGGTGTTTCCCCTGCCAAGATATTAGCTGGGACCTGCGTTTGCTACAAACAAAACAAAACAAAACAATTTAAACGACGAAACAGTCTGCGGGTCTGACTTAAGTTACACTTACACTTACACCCGCTGAACCCTCTCAAACATCTTCATCTCGGCCGAGTAGAAAAATGCCACCGAGGCTTTTCTCCCAAAAACTCCACGATCTAGTTATCAACATGTCATCCGTCGATAGTGACTCAATAGACCCGATGCGAATTGCTCTGACAGCAAAAGGAGGCATACGCAGTCCCTCCCCTATCTCGACGCCACGGCGCAAAAAAGTGCTTGAATTACAGCGGCGCTAACAATGTAATCGACTGGGGTGCGTTTGTTAGGCTAGATCCGTAGTTCAGCTGGTCATGTCTGGTGCTACGGTAGGTGAAGTGAGGGCTTGAGCGTCGGATTGTCGGCATTGGCCAAGATTTTGAAAGACGTCATTGTTTGTTGGGCGCTTCTTTGAGAGTGAGTTGGTGATAAGCGCTGAGCTGAGTGTAGTGGATGGTGGTGGCGTTGTGAGGGCGGTTGATGGGCATGGGATTTGGAGAATGCCTTCAAAGAATATTCTCAGCGTCAATGGCTTTATCTCACCGTCCGTAAAGATAAGAGACCTAGTTGATATCTCGATGACTTCACCTGCCATCCAGTCTCACGTTTCAGGAGCCGGCACGTCTCCCACTCACCGAGACACTCCCTCCTATCACCACTACCACCACCAACTACTCTCCGTACTCTGCCCTAACAAAACCCCATCCTCAGCAACCCTTACCTGTATGTTTCATTTTATTTCCCGTAGCGTTATGAACCAAAACGCCTCCAAACGGTCTGCACCCCTGACTAGCCACCTCCTCCCCACCACGACACCGCAAGCTATCGATTCTCCCATCCCCGAATCGTGATAGCTTCACCCGGGCCAAGTCCAGATTTAGAAGATGGTTACAACGTTATGGCACACTTTGGGATCTTTGGCACCAAGTGACTTCGCTTGCTAGATCGCGCCAGCGGCGACGGAGGTGGACAGATCGGTAATTAAGCCAAGAATTCGATGCAAGACTCTTTATATATCCGGTGTCGTACGTTCGCTTTTGTGACTGCTTTCCCTCAGCGGTAACAACACTCTCTTTCTTTTCTTGCTGTTGCTGTGCATTTGCCCTGTCACTCTTTTGACTTGATACTCTCCTACCAACTACATTCCACTCACTCACTCCACGAGGATCTTTTATTCTCACTTACTATCGTTACCTCTACTGCAATAGCTTAATACCCCTTCTCCACAATGCCTTCCTCAAAGGTCTTTGCAGCCATCTTGGCTGCTCTGGCCGTGGCCGACGCCAGCCCTTGTAAGCCCAAGCCTGTCACAACGAGTGGTTCAACCGCTGCTGTTGTGACTACTTCTGGCTCAACCGACATTCTTTCTTCCACTGCTACTACTGAGACTGCTGCTACCACCACCACCGGGGCTGCTTGCTCTCACTACACCCCTTACACTGAGATCGTCCCCGCTGACTGCGGCATGACCGGTGTTGCACCCAACTGCGCTGACAAGGCCATTGGATCTCCTATCACTGTTACCGACTATGCTGAGTGTGGTAACACTTGCGGCATGACTGTAGGCTGCAAGTCTTTCTCCATCAAGGATACTTCTTGCACTCTGTATAATGCCCCCGTTTCTTCACTCGGATATACGTTCAACGAGGGCTCCGATGCTAGCCACTTCTATGACCTCGACCTTTGCTTCGGATGTGGTGAGGGCACAACTACCTCTGGTACTGAGACTGCCACTGGATCTCAGACTACTGGATCTGAGACTGAGACTTCAGCTACTGGTTCCGAGACCGAGACCTCTGCTACAGGATCTGCCACCGAAACCTCCGCCACTGGTTCCGAAACTGGAACAACAACTGCCACAGGCTCTGAGACCGAGACTTCCGGTACAGCCCATGCTACGGGCACAACCGACACTGAGACCTCAGCCACTGGCTCTCAGACCGAGACTACAACTGCTCCTGGCGCTACCACTGAGACCTCAGCTACCGAGACCCTCACAGCCAACACAGACACAACAACAGCCGCTGCCACAACCACAACCTCCACCGGCTGCACAGCCTATACCCCCGTGGCTAACCCCCCTGCCAGTGACTGTGCCGTCCGAGGAGCCCCCAACGGCTTCGCTGCCTTCATGTCCCAGCTCATTGGCATCCCCAACTCCAACACTGCAGAGTGTGCTCGCCAGTGCGGTTTGTACCGCAGTTCCACTGTCGTCGACGATCATTGTCTCTCGTTCGCTCTGGACGCGAGCAACACTTGCTACCTGTACAAGGTCGACCTGAGCACCCTGAATGTCGATGCTGCTGGAACGCCTGTCCTGGAGCTCCATGACTTTGACGCTTGCTATTCTTGTGATGAGGGTGGTGTTACTACTACTGCTGAGAGCGGAACTACGACTACTGAGGCTGGATCTGGTACCACCACCACTGCTGCTGGAGTTGACACTACCACGACCGAGACTGACTCGGAGACTGGCACTACTACTACTGAAGGCGGTGCTGGATCCACAACCACCACCGAGGCCGGTTCTGATACTACCACTACAGCTGCTGGAGTTGATACCACTACCACCGAGGCCGGCTCTGGCACTACTACCACTACAGCCGCTGGTATCGATACCACCACCACTGAAGCTGCTTCCACCACCACCGACTCAGTCTGCACCGGCTACACTCCCGTCCCCAACCCTCCCGTTGCAAACTGCGCCGTCAAGGGCAAGTCTAACAAGGACTCTCTCGGTGATGCCTCTGGCTACAGCGCCAACGAGTGTGCCACCAAGTGTAGCGAGACCATGTACTGCAAGTCTTTTGCTTACAAGGCTTCTACCAACACTTGTACTTTCTGGGGTCTCACTGTGAGCCAGTTGCAGATCAACAGCTGTGCTTCTGCCGAGGAGTCTGAGTTCTACGACTTTGAGATCTGCTATGCTGGTTGTGGTCAGGCTACTACCACCACTGAGGCTGTTGGATCTACCACGACAACTGAGGCTGGAGTTGAGACTACTGCCACGACAACTACTGAGGCTGGTGAGGGTTCTACCACCACCACTGAAGCTGCTGTCGCTTCTACGACTACAACCGAGGCCGGTGAGGCTTCAACCACTACAACTGAAGCTGGCGCTGCTTCAACCACCACTACCGAGGCCGGCGTTGCTTCCACCACCACCACGGAGGCTGCCTCTACCACTGAGGCTCCTACAACCACCACAACCGAAGCTCAGTCCACCACCGAAGCTCCCACCACAACCACAAAAGCCCCCGTCTGCACCAACTACATTCCCCTCCCCAACGCCCCCTCGACCTGCGGAAAGCAAGGCAAGGTCTCCTGCCGCTCCACCCAGAAGCTCGGCCAGGCCACATCCGTCACCGACGTCAACGCCTGCGGCAAGCTCTGCGGCACAACCCTCACCTGCAAGACCTTCTCCTACACCCCCAAGTTCCGCAGCACCGGCGGTTACTGCCAGCTGTACTCCGCACCCTTGGCCCAGCTCAGCTTCACGCCCTGCAGCACGGGCGTCAAGTTCTACGACCTCGATACCTGCTACACCTGCTCCAACACTCCCACGCCTACACCGCCTGCTACGTGCTCCAAGTACGTCCCTGCGTTTGAGAAGTGCGCCAAGGACACGCACTGCGGCACGAGCGGTGAGATCTGCCAGGAGGTCAAGATCAATGTCGCGGGCGATGCGTCGTGCCTTGAGAACTGTGCCAAGAGCTGTATTGACTATGGAAAGGACTGCAAGTACTTCAGCTACCAGTCTGCGTTCGGCAACAGCGCTGCCAAGTGTAATCTCTACAAGAGTGGAAAGATCACTCAGAAGAGCTCTTCTTGGGTCAAGTTCTACGAGCAGGATTGCTTCAAGTGCCAGCAGTCCAAGTAAAGCATTGCACCTGAGACATGATGGAAAAAGGGAATAAATACGGTTTTAGAGGGAGGAGTCGGAGAAGAACATTCTTTTCATATTCTACGACTTTGAACGTTAGCATCTTTATGTAATTACTTTTCACTTTTTTGTGTCTATTTTAGATGGACATATGATATATACACTATGACTTGGGCAACCATTTACTTGTCCCTGATCGATCTCCTGAGCGAGTTATGAATCCAACACTCCAAGACTTCTATTCTATGGTAGTAGTGACGACAAAGAAAAGAGCATCGGTCAATATTCATTATTCACGCTTTGATCATTGCATCCGTTGTCAGGCGGATATTAACGTCCATGTCACAACACCACCGTTCTAGCTGTGACGTCTTGCTTTTCCGCGTCTTCCTTTGAACACCCAACATATCGTACACGTAATAGTACACATCTGATCACCACGGACCTTTCAGCAGCGCCGGCTAGCAGCTCTCTTTGACTCCAGGATCGAGCCGCAAGTCCCCAACACACTTCTCGCTCATTCCGTCCCTACACTCCCACAATTCTCCATCGCACGTCTCTCCCTCTCCTCTCTCTCTCTATTAATCTTGGCCTGTTTATATGGCATGACCTTCTGTTCTTTTCCCATAACAACTATCCCACGTTAGCGCATTTCTAGGCAGCAAGCGGAGCAACTTACGCCTTTGGAACAGTTCATAACCAACAACCAAGACAATCGGCATCCCAACCATGAACTTGAGCCAGAACCTCTCCAGCTTTTTATGTCTCCTGTTGTAGTCTTCCTTCTCCGCCTTTTCTCTCTCTTCCTTCGTCAAACCAGTCTTCTTCTTCTCCTCGGCCACGTTCGTTCTCTCTTCAGCCTGCCTTGCCTTTTCCCTCCTCTCGCTAGACGCCAGATTCTCCCTTGTATCTTGCCTCTTCTCTGCATTTGTAGAAAGCTTTCCTAGTCGTGCTGCTCGTGCCTGTCGTAGCTTCTGTTCTCGTTCTTGTGCCAGTCTCGTAGCCTTGTCGACCATACTCTTTGCGTTCTCAGCAGACCGTTCGGGTGTTGTTGAGGTTATGGTAGTCTTGGCGAGATTTTCACCGGGCTTAGCAGAGTCGGTTGGCCTTGGTATCTGTTGCCGGCGCTGGGAGGGTCGTGATGTTGAGAATGCGCATTTTGAGGTTCGATGGCTGAGGAGAGGGCATTCGAGGCGGGAGATTCGAGGGAGGGCACTTGATGCCACTTTTTGTGGCGCAATTCGCAATGGCATTGTTTCCGCGCAAGTAAATGTATGACTTGAGCGCAATTGGTGAGTGTTCGAGTGTCGCAGCGTTGTAAAGTTGCTTGAAGTTCAAGATTGACGAATCCAAGTGGGAAAAGATCACCAAGTCCTTATCGATAAAGCCATAGCTTCGACTCAAGACCTCACAACCCCAAAGTTCGATTAACATCTTGGTAGCCAAATTCTTTTCATATTAGCTGTCAATTCAATGAGAGCTCACACAAAGTTTTAATCTCACTTCAATTTTCCCATGTTAATCAGCCTTCTGCTATAGTTTTTGATTATACAATATTTAATCTTCCAAAACGCCTTTTGCAAACCAAACCAATGTGCTGCCCCCCTATGCCGTATCATCTTACTATACCCTCCCAATCAATCGTCATCAGTGTATCGAGGACCAGTGGCGGCAGGAGTCTCCGGAGGAGCATATGCTGCGGGTGTAGGAGCGCCATAATAACCAGGCGTAGGAGCGCCAGCCGCAGGAGTAGGAGCCGAGTCTGCTCCCCATCCAGTTTGCCACGAAGCTCCTGGTGTAGGTGCGCTGATGGCTGCGGGAGTCGGCGCAGAGTAGGCACCAGGTGTAGGAGCGCTCAATGCACCAGGAGTCGGAGCACCAAGACCAACACCGGGTGTAGGGGCGTCGTAAGCGCCTGAACCTCCCCATGAGTCGTTTCCACTAGCTCCAGGAGTTGGCGCAGATACTCCCCAAGCAGGAGTCTTTGAACCTGAGCCCCAGCTGTCGCCGCCACCACCATATGCAGGCGTACGTGAGCCAGCGCCGAAAGCATCGCCAGGAGCAGGAGTCCTTCCACCGGCCTGCCAGGCAGGTGTGCGTCCACCAGAGCCATAAGCAGTACGGTTGCCGTCGTAAGGGTTGACGGTTCGCGAACCATCGGCCCACGCGGGAGTTCGGGCTCCGGACATATCTGGGGCCTTCCAAGCGGGTGTGCGTCCGCTTGCTGCTGCAGGTGCTACATGTTGTTAGTATTTCGAAACCAACCAATTGCGAAGAAACTTACTTCGTGATCCCCAAGCAGGCACCCTGTCTGAGCCACTACCTGCCATGGGTGTGCGAGAACCGCCCTGCCATCCTGGCACACGATCACCACCACCACCCCGTCCAGCACCACCCCCATACCCACCACGGCCTCCTCGGCTAGCGATATCAATTGTAGCTCCAGTCAGCTTGTTCTTGAAGCTCAGACTATCCTTGGGCACCGTAATAGTCTTGCTCTTCGTATGAAGCTCGACCCGGGCGTGGGTGTCTGTTGTATCCTTGACAATACCCAAAAGACCTTTGTAGGCTCCCTTCCTGATAATAACAGTCTGTTCAATTGCCTTATCTCGGCCAAATGATCTGGGTTGTTGCACGGGCTTGTTTTCTGTCCCGTTCTTGTGAAGCTTGAGTGCCGGGTTCATTGCTGTCAGGTCAGGGCCAGCGGATGCAGCAGCGACACGACCTCCCTTGGCCGCAATGGTGTTGACCATGCTGGCCTTGGTGACAAAGACACCAGCGTTCTCCTTGCTGTCGTTGGTGTGTAGGAAGACATACGAGCGATGGATGTGAATAATCTTGCCCTGTCGTTGTTGACCTGTGTACTCCTTAACGACATCTTCAAGTCTAATCTCAGAGCCACTGCGGTCGGCGGCAACAGCCGTCTTTCGCTTTGGAAGTTTGTTGGCGATCTGGGATGGCATGACCTGGCGAGTGTCTCCAAATTGGTCAAGGACAACAAGCGACTCGCGATCAACCTTGACAACACATCCTACTGTCGTAGGATCAAGTTGTACCAAGTCGTGAAGAGAGTATTGGCCCAGTGATCCTTGGCCGCCGATATCACTGGCTTCACGCAAATCCTTGCTAAACACAGTGACCTCGGAGTTGGTCTGATCTGTCAGAAGAGTGACTTGATCGTCCTTGATGTTGACAACCATTCCGACCTCGTCGCGGAACTTGCTACCACCAATGACCTTGACGTGATCACCAATCTTGAAGCGCTTTCGAAGGGATCGAATGGGGACATCGATTTCCTGACCAACAAGATCACCTTCGGTAACAGTAATCGAGACGACATCAGAATGAACTCGCATCGCCTTTCCAACGACACCCTTCTGCTCGCCAGTGTACACCTCGACGATATCGCCGGGTAGGTACGTAGCCAGAGCATTGCTGTCTTTGAGACTGTGCGCCAGGGCCTTCAAATCAAGATTCTCAGTGCCATCCTCAGCGCCTGAAGCGAATCTAGTGACTTCCTCTAGCGAGGGATTGACGTCGGTAGTGGTAAGTTGTTGAATCTTGATGTCCTTGACCTGGAAACCATTCTCGAATTCGTCGCCCATGTAGGTCCATGTACCAGCAGTAGGGTTTCCCTGGATATGTCGAGGATGGCGCTTTCGTGCCTCAACCTCGCTAAAGAGCCTCTGCGGTGGTTTGGGACCAGCCATACCGAAAGGTCGCTTTCGCTTTCCATCGGCAGTGACTGAAGAGAAGGCATCGTCTCGCATACCATAGTCCAATCTGGGAATGAAACGGACACGAGCCTCAAGACCGTTTTCAGTGACATCAATGACCTGAGCAAGATCACCATTATGCTTCATGGGTCTTCGAAGACGAACCCAGGCTCCAGGCTCCAGAGTTGGTGTCTTGGAAACGCGGAACAGCTCAGGCATATCCTTGATGTCAACCAAGACCATCTTGGAATGAGGATACACGTTCAGCATACTGTCCAATCCCTTCAAAATGTCGGTTTGGCGGCGGGCTTCGACGTAGACAAATCCCTTCATGACAGAGTCAGGACCTCCACGTTCGAACGCCGCAGTGATGGCCAGTTCATCCTTAGTGCCAGCCCTCTCTTCAATGCGCTTCATAATCGAGAAAATAACTTCTCGCTCCTTGCCTTCTTTACACCGTACGGCCCAAATGCTAGGATCGTCCACGCTAGGGAGGAGCAGTCGCTTGGGAACAACCGATGCATCTCTGAAGCCCTTGCCAGAACGTCGATTACCGTATCGCTGCCGCAAGATCTCTGCCTGTTTCTCGGCGTCCATGCTGGAATCTATCTCGCGACGGCGATCGAGCTCACGATGTCGTCGGTCATCATCGATACCAGTTTCGGCGATATCGTCTGGATGATCGTTTGTGATAAAGTCGCCTATCTCTTCACCCAGCATCTCGTCATCTTCGGCTTCGTCTTCATCGTCGACTTCGGCTTCGATATCGAAGAAAGCCGCTCCTCGTTCCTTTCTGCGCTTTCTGCGATGGCCCTAAAGGGGGTCAGTATTTTAAGAGCATGCAGGGAACGCGCCTTGGCAGAATCAGAGCCTGCTCACCTGCTGGACATCGTCCTCGTCCTCGTCATCTTCCTCATCCTCTTCGTCGTCGTCGTCGTCGTCGTCATCGCGACGCTTGGGATTGTCATCCTCGTCCTCTTCCTCCTCCTCATCGTCTTCATCAGCGTGTCGTGACTTTGACGGTCGCTCATCCTCGTCATCGTCATCATCGCGAGGTGCAGGACTGCTTCCGCGCTTTATCTTCTTGTCGTCGCCATCTTGCTCCTCGTCGGACATATCTGCGGGCGCTGGGTTGAAATCTTCCTCATCTTCGGAATCGTCGAAGCGCGAAGGGTCGTGGGAGGACATGGTGGCGAGTGAGCCGCGCGACACGAAGCGTGTCTGCGATAATTGGTGAGAGACTGGTCGCAGGAGTTTGAAAGATTAAGAAAGTAATAAATG